ATGTTTTTCTTAACTCATAGATGGACGCACGTGCAAATAACCCTTCAAGGCCATCTGGAAGTGTGGATAAAGACAGGGATATAGTGAGATTCTCTAATGGTAGTGCAGCTCAGAGTGACGATCGATCTTTATCAGTGGCCATTGATGGTTGGGAAAATTCGAAAATGAAGAAAAAGCGAACTGGTATAAAACTAGATTCTGCTTGTAGTTCAATGATGGCAAAAGCAGCTGATGGTTACAGAGAACCTAAACTAGGAATGCATTTGCGGCTTACCACTGAACCCCGTTCAAGGTCGATTGATGCCCACGGCTTCAGGCATTACTCTTATAACTTACTAAGTGTATTTGGTGGATGATGCTGCTCTTAGAGTATAATACCTTTCTAAAATTTTGGCATTTTGTTGTCGGTCTGCATGTACTATCAGTCTGTTAATGAATAACTTTCTGCTGTCATACTTATTCTTTTGGTGGTAATGAGTTATCTGTAGTTTCTTGTTTGACCTGATACCTTATCATATTACACGTCGGTTGGAAGAAGTTAATCACATCTTTTTTCCCCCCCTTTTGTTCTCTGTTTTGTTGGTGAAAATATTCATTGTTAAAACAAATTTTGATACATACAACTCATTTTCTCATGTAATTCGATAATGCCCTTTTACGTAGATCTGGCACTAATAATGGAGGTCAGGGAGTAGGAAAAGTGGAAGCCAGCCTGCAAACTAGCTCAGGCATGCGAACATCCATATTGAGGACCGACTCTGATAACACATCCGTTCCCCATGAGAGGAGGGAGCGTCCAATTGGTCAAGATAAAGAAAGAGTTAACCTGAAAGCTGTGAACAAGTATGAGTATCTTTTTTCTAGTTTCTCTCGGATATTTCCGAGTTTAGGTGATGGTTAATTTGATAAAAGTATGAAGGTTTGCGCCGTATTTTGCCTATCTTCTTGAACTGTTAATTTTCCTTTTTAATCATTGAAATGCAAAAATAGTGAGTATTAGCTGCAACCAATTAACTATGAAACTGATTAACATGTCTGACAATTATCAGATTACTTCAACATTGAGTTGTAACACTTATTGTTTACTGAAATTTGTTGCTAGTTTTATTTAGTGTCATTATATTGCAGGACAAAAATGTGCCCATATAAGCTTTCTTGATAAAGAAAAGTATGAGGTGTTTTTTTTGGCGAACCTTAATCTATCCAAGAACTTTTGTTCATATGTGTAGAGTACTAGAGAAATTCTGCCTCAAGAAAGATTTAGTTAATCAGAATAATGAATAAGAGCTGCTAACATGATTTATGAGCGGCATATGCTCCTTTCCCTTGGACTCTCCTTCACAACATAGTATAGTCTTAGAAGTATTCAAAGAGTTCGATGTTGCGGAAGGAAAAACTTGTATCTCACTTCACTATTCTTGCGTGTGTGCGCGTCTATGTATGTGTATTCTGTCCTATGTTCACTTGCTTGGGACTAAAGGCTATGTTGTTGTTGTTGTTGTTGTTGCTGTTGGATAATCTCTCATTGTGAATCTTTTGGATTTCCAAGGGCAAATTCTCGGGAAGATTTAAGCTCAGGCAGCCCTACTTCAGGCCCAAAGTTGAATGCAAATGTTCGCGCCCCTCGCTCAGGCCCGGTTGGTGGTGCGTCTAAGATGGCCCACGGAGTGCAGCGGTCTACATCATCTAATGATTGGGAATTTTCTAATTTCACAAACAAAACTGCTGGTAGCATTGGGACAAACAGTCGCAAACGGACACCTTCTGCACGGGCTTCTTCTCCTGTTGCCAGCTGGGCTCAAAGGCCGCAAAAAAGTTCTCGAACTGGAAGGAGAACTAATTTGTTGTCCGTTGTTCCTAGCAATGATGAGAATCCTATTCTAGATGCCACATCCGACAAGATGGCTGAAAGGCGCTTTCCTGCCAGTTCTACTCAGAGAGTCAAAATAAAGAGCGATAATTTCTCTCCAGCTGCATTATCCGAGAGCGAGGAATCAGGTGCTGCTGAAATCAAGTCTAGAGACAAGAATAATAATTGTGATGAGACAGATGAAAAAAGTGGGCAGAATGTCCAGAAGATGTCAACACTGCTGCTACCCCCAAGAATAAATAAGGCAGTCAATGGAGATGACCATGGAGATGGTATCAGGAAGCAAGGCAGAACCGGTCGAGGATATACTTCCTCTAGGTCCCTTTTACCTTCATCAGTCGAAAAGCATGGGAATGAGGGAACAGCTAAACAAATTAGAAGTTCTAGACTTGCTCTTGACAAGAGTGAAAGGTATAAAGAAATCTCATTTTGTGTTTTATACATGGTCATCTTAAACTTCTGTCTGCTCTCTTGCTGACGTAGGCTTATATACTGAAGATCTTCTCTATCATGCTTCTTTCAGCAGAGTGGGTCGGCCACCTGTAAGAAAACTCTCTGATAGGAAGCCTTATACACGACAAAAGCATATCACTGTCAATGCTGGACCAGATTTTCTTGGTAATTTACTTATTAATGTTGAAATGAGTCCGAAGAACTTTGATTTCGCAGTTCCTTTATTTAATTTGCTTCCCCCTGACCTCTGCTTCTTGGGTGTATATACATCTATATCTATATCACATAACAGTTGGTTCTGATGATGGTCTTGAAGAGCTCTTGGCTGCGGCAAATGCTGTTACAGACACTGGTATATTTATTTGGATTTTAAGAGCCTGCCCTTTCCATTTTATCCTCTATTTCATATTTCCGCTATATCAAGACTTGGAATAATTTATATATAGTTTTACCGTTACAACAACAACAACAACATAGCCTTTTAGTCCCAAGCAAGTTGGGGTAGGCTAGAGATGAAACCCAAGAGAACCAATGGTAAGAAAACACAACTGGGCATTAAATATGTCATTGGGCCTTTTAGTCCCATATATAGTTTTACCGTTAATAATAGAAATATGTTTCGATAACTTTCTGGAAATTATTGTCCATGTCGGTTAAAATTAAAAACATACATGCTTTTATGTTTTCTACGTGTAAAAATATGTCAGTGGGCATTCGATAATGGTATTTATGGGACAATATATTTTTATACATAAATAATATTTTAACACAAAAACTGGTAGTGTTGGCCCATTCTTGGCCTTTGTGTATTAAATATAACTATTTTCTGGAAATTTAGTGGAAAAATGGTAGTTTATGCACATCAATATTATGTTTATGGAAATAAAAAAAATAATATTATTAAATCTGGTACTGGATTTTTAAAAACATTAATTATGTGGATCCGTCACATCTATATAATGTGTATGTAATTAAAGTTAGTAATATTATCAAATCTGGCACTGGATTTTAAAAAATCATTAATTATGTGGATCTTATTTAATAAATCTGAAAAGCATTTAAAATGAAAATATTGTAATGAGGCTAGAATAAATGCATCACTACCATTATTGCTATTGTTGATCATGTGAATAACCATCACTTCTCTAGCTTGGCGTGTATTTTTTTCCTGGTAATAATCAACCTAAATTCGAGTGGTGTTAAATTAATGCAGCTCAAGCCCTCTCTAGCCCGTTTTGGAAGATGATGGAGCCTGTATTTCGTGTCATATCTGATGCGGACTTATCCTTTTTGAAAGACCAGGTGGAGTTTAACTATCCTGATACATCTATTCACTATTGACTCTACTCACCGATAAACGGCTTGTTACATAGTAATAAAATTTGTAGTTAATGCCTCCTTATGTTAAGGTGATCTGTAAAAATCATTGTTGTATTTAATCAGAAGTACTCGATTTGTTGGAATGTTTCTGTGTTGTTTTATCTGATGTAAGATATCCTACTTGAAAATGACCGGATAGAGTTTCTCAGGGATATCTTCTTACGTTATTCAGGGATGTCTTCTTACGTTAATATGGCCTTCTAAAAAAATACCATAGTATTAGTTTTTGTATTTAATTATGGATGTGACCTTTAATGCGCTAGCACTTGTGTTCTATGCTTAGCAAATGCAGAAATTACTAACCTTTTTGTGGGAGCAGTAAACTTATGTGTCCCCCAAATAATCAGTATCAGCCCATCACTCATTAATGCAAGAAATACATGTATTGCTGTGAAAATTAAAATTGATTTTCAGGTCTTGTCTTTATCTTGGATCTAATGTGATATCATTTGTGCATCTAAACATTGGAGTACTTCCAGGATTCACAGAAGCCATTTCTGTGTACTCTTTTCTGTTTAGTGGTACACACTTCAAACTCATAGAAAAACTATGCTGAATGTTTTGATGCATCTTTTTGTGATGTCTTGATGTTCATACGTAAGGAATAGTTGCTCTTTTTGATTTTGATAGAGATTGAGAAAGTGGAGTATTTACTCAAGGGAATGAAAAGATGGAAAGTAATAAAATCAGTGTTGCGATATTGGAAGTCATGGGATTGGCTGGAGTCCTGGGATCCTGGTCTTTTGGGCATGAAAGGCTATCAAATTGTTATTGTACTTTTTATTTATTATTTTTTGACCTTATATAACTAAAAATCTTGTAAAAGGGAATGGGGAATTGAAGATTTAGGAATCGAGATAATTGTTTATCGGCTTTTTAGCTTGTGAGGGAGATTATTTCCGAGGAGAACATCGTGTTCTATTCTTTAATTTTTCGCATAATAATTTTAAGTTATTTACATTGACTCTTTACACTTAACAGATTTACAGTTAGCCATTTCCTCTTATTGATAAATGTTTGGATGTAGAACTTCTGGCGTGCAATACTTTTAACACAGTTCTCCTAAAGACTGCTGAAATAGTTAATTGTAGTAGTGAAATTTATGCACAAGATACTATCTCGAATGTGGTGTATTAGTGTATCTTAATCCCATGTTTGTCCTTTTAGGTTAATCCTGGTTTAGCTGTGGATACACCAGCTCCTGCCCCTCATGATACCGGCAGTTGCACTTTACTACCTAATGGGTGTGGATCAAATGGATTTGCGCAAGAGGAAACTGAAGCAAGAAGTGTGGAACTTAGCCCAGAACATCTAGCATTAGAAGCAAAGTCGCCAAATGAGATCTCCCTGTATCAGAGGCTAATTGCAGCTTTGATTCCTGAAGAAGGAAATGAGGTCCCTGGTGATAAAGATACCTTAAGATATGATGTTTATGAATCTCGCTTTGAAATGGAAAAGGATATAGAATCTGATACATTATGCTCGCAGATCTCACTGAGCCCTTCGGGATATCCTATGTCAAATGGTTATGATGAAAATTCTAATGGGAGATCACTCTATGAGCTGGAGCACAGTACTGTCTCCACGCCAGAGACAGGGATTCAAAGCTATGATCATTTACATACAGACCAGTCGATACCTGTCCCAATATGTTCTGACTATCAATATTATAATTTGCCAATAAATGAAAGACTTCTCTTAGAGATTCACAACATAGGAATCTACCCAGATCTAGTGGTATGTTGTATTCTTCTCTTGGAAACTTTGTTACTCTGCTGCTATTGTTTGTAGTCTTTTGAGTTTTGACCAATGTGATCTGACAGAGTGGTGATGAGGAAATAAGTGGAGATATCAATAGTTTGGACGAGAAGTATCAGGAACAGGTAAGATGTAATTCCAGTCTTGCAGGTATTTTGTCCAAGTCTTAAGGGAAACTATTGCTCCTGCACATGTGTCACCTCTCTCTCTTTCTGTCTCTCTCTCTATATATATATATATAGATGTATATATACACACATACACATACATAACACACCAAAAATGAAACAACTGAAGAAACTGTCAAACGTGTTTTGGCTCACACACTGAGCTTCTCTCTCGCTCTACACAGACACAGACACAGGCACACACACACACACACACACACACACGTACACCTATATCACCTTTCTCTGTATACACGCAATACACCGGAAAAAAATATCTGAAGGAACTGTCAAACGTCTTTAAATGGCATATGGAAGAAATCATTGAGCCATGAGATGTGTCCTATTTTGTGTGAGTATATCAGGAGAGTTGATTGAGATCTGCATCTAGAACACTCTTTTGTTCTGATGGAGATGTCAGTGTGTACTTTATCTGTATCCATTAAACGATATTTGATTTCACTGTTCTTGAAAATCATAAAGACTGACGAGTTTTTTCTTTTAAAGTTCATTTTATGTTCTTCCTACCAAAGAGGATATATTGACAAATGTAGATCAAAAGTTAAAATAACCATTAATTTGGATGCTTTAGTAAAATTTCTTTAGTGAAGCTTCTGAATTGTATTTTTGTTAGCATTCTTTCTCATTATTAAATAAATTCTCAGGTTTCAAGGAAGAAAAGCTTCATTGGCAAACTTCTGAGTTCTGTTTCTGAAGCTAAAGAGCTGCAGGAAAAGTAAGAAGTCTCTTTTCTACATGAAACCGTCAATATAAATCTGTAGGCAACCTTTCCGTCCTGATCATAACTTGGGTACCTCTTATGTTACAGGGACTTTGAAGAGCATGCTCTTGATAAACTTGTTGGAATTGCCTACGAAAAATACATGGTAATTGTTAATTTTTGCTGGGTTTCTTCCTCTTTCCATTAGTATATGCATATACGAAGGTGAAGGTGTATGCATCTTTTCTATATCGTGATAGACGAACACTTATTTCTTCTACGGACAGAATAGTGACACTTGAATACTTGACCTTATGATACTGTTTTATTTTCAGAATACTCGTGTAAAAATTATGTTCCAAGTCCCTTCAAGTATCAGTTTCTAGAAAATATATCAATGATACCAGGCTTGTGCAAATCATTCAAACAGTAACCACATATCAGCAGTTCATGTGTTTTTTCTTACTATATAAATGAATGTGACGAGTTGCTGTTCAGGTAAAAAAGGAAATCCCGCCCACTCACTCACTCCCAAGCACCGACCTGAATGCACACACACATTAAATTTAAAAAATGAAATAGTTGAAGAAAAGAAACTATAAGGAAAAAGAGCAATTCTGAAGTCAATGATCACTTCAATTATATTAAGTTGTCAGAGTTCATCTGTGTTAGTATATGTCCCTGCAGTGATTCAATAGAACACTGTAAAAACAACTATCACAGTTTTGCTTAATCTGAAGTTACATAATTGACTCATAATCACGTCAAAATATCATTTTAAACTACTTATGCGGAAGATGAGTATAAACTTTGCTGGTTGAACATTTTTCTTTATCAAGTTGTTTTTTCCCACTGCAGAGTTGCTCGGTTCCTAACACTCAGGGGACGAAGAGTAACAGCATTAAAATTGCCAAGCAACAAGCTGCCTTAGTTTTTGTTAAGCAATCATTGGAACGGTACCAGGAATTTCTGGTTACAGGAAAAAGTTGCTTTGATGATCCTATGTACAGGGACATATTCCTCTCTGGGGTCTCGCGTCTTGTTGATGGACAGCCTCTGAATTCCAGCACAGACAACGAGTCTAACAAACTCAATTTTGGCATCTCTGGCTGCTCTATGGAAGTTAGGACTTCAGGTACATGACAAAGATGAACTAAGTGATGGCTAATCAGAATTTATTTCTGTTAACGGTGCTATATCCACATTTCTGCCTTTGCCTCGTATATTTCTCATTTGGATTATGCTGCTTTTTGGGATGTTTTATCAGGAAAAATGTCAAGATGTTCTTATTTGTTTTTTAGTCCTTTGAGAAAACAATGCAGAAACAAATACAAATACAAATATATAAATAGCAAGGAACAAGATGGGAACCAGGAAACAAAATTTTAAAAAACGTCAAAATCAACCTACAAATGTTCAGACCAATGTAAACAAATGCCCAGACATGGTAAAATGATATTTTTTGCCAAAAACATGATTCCTCTCTCCCTTTCTCATTGTATTGTTATTATTATTATTTTTTTTTTTGCAAATTTATTATATTATAATTAATGATTTAAAGTATTTAAATTTGAATGAGGATATGTGTTTTGATTGAGCACGATGGCGACATGTGATCCATATAGCCGACCCCACTTAGTGGGATTTTAACAGCTTGTTGATTGATTGATTGATTAATGTTGTTGTTGTTGTTGTGCAGCTCCTCTGTGCACACAGCAGAGCCCCATGTCAAACAATCAGGATACATATTCATTTGAAGCCTTTCCATCAGCAAACATGGGCTCTGAACAAATTACTGGTATTGAAGATGGCTGGTCAAATAAAGTGAAAAGAAGGGAGTTGTTGCTTGATGATGTTGGTGGAACGAGCTGCAGAGCTTCGGGTCTTCCGCACGGGCTTGGTGGTTCGCTTTCATGTAGTGCCAAGGGTAAAAGAAGCGAGAGGGACAGAGAAGGAAAGGGTAACAATTTAGGCAGAAGCGGAACTGGTAAAATTGGCCGCCCAGCAAACTCTGCTAAAGGAGAGAGAAAGTCCAAGGCGAAACCCAAACAGAAAACAACTCATTTGTCTGCTTCTGTCAATGGTCCTTTAGGGAAAATGGCTGACCAGCCAAAAAGAGTTTTCTCACCATCCCTCAACTCAAATGAGGTTGGCGGAAGTGAAAATACAAACAGTAATGACTATAACTCGGAGATGTTGGAAGAGCCCATTGATTTATCGGGCCTGCAACTCCCTGAGATGGATGATTTAGGTGTTCCTGATGATCTTGGTGGTCAAGGAGAGGATATAGGGTCTTGGTTGAATATCGAGGATGATGGATTGCATGATCATGATTTTATGGGTGGCCTTGGCATCCCAATGGATGACCTGTCAGACTTAAATATGATGGTTTGAGACGGCAGTGTTGTATATTTTTTTTAACCTTTACTGTCACAGAAGAAAAAAGAGGAAAGAAAAGAAAAAAAGGATTTACTGTCATGGACGGGTCCCAGTTTGAGGGAGCTCCTGTTATTATTCAGAGTATTGTTAGGCTGTCATATTCTTTAGGTTAAAGCCCTGGTCAAGTTGATTTGGAGCGAATATATTCATGCAAGGACGCTTGTTAGTGTTTGAGTTTTGACTGTAAAGATCTTTTTGTTTGATGTGTGAGCTCATATCTTAGGATTAAGATCTTAGTGAAAACTGTATTTTGGTCCTAGCAAATACAAATAGCGAACGGTGCCCGTTGTACATAAACTTTATATTTCAATAAATCATGCTCTTTCCATTCTAGTGCTGCTGTTGTAGGAGCCAGTAAAGATTGCCTGCTTTTAAGTGGTCCATCTTCGAGTAGCATATAGTTCAAATCTACTATTGGTGACTAGTTCAATATTTTAATCCAGCTTTTTTATATTATCAATACTGTTTGATCTTAGGTACTGGAGAAGCTATGGTGGTTGTCATTGAATTGTTGTTACCCTGAGGATTAAGTGGTCAGCGGTAAAAGGAGGTGATATTACATGGGATGCGAAATTTACAAGTGTTTTTTCTTCTGCAGGTCATCTCTCATTATTAACTGATAAGCATGGTAAAGTTTATGTTCAGTTTCTCTTAAACATGCTAATCAATCTATGCTGTGTCTTTATTGTCAATTGCTGTTTTGAACTGAAACCTGTATGCATCCAAAACTCAACACTAGCTGGACATGCATTCCCCTGAGAAGACAGCCTTTTTTTTGTAGCTGCCATTTTGAAATATTTTTGTAGGTTATAAAAAATTCTCAAGTACAGAATGCCCAATAGCATTGGCGGCTGAAGTAATAGCTTAATCTGTTTCCGTTTTACTTGAAGCACACGTTACAGCTCTCGTATATATGAGTTGCCTTTTTTGGAGCCAGCTACGTATGTTAGAAAACAAGTTTCAGTCTGTCATAGTTTGGAGCCGGGTACATATCTTCTTCTAGGAATTAATTTTATCTATTTAGCCCCAATCGATCATTCGCTTTTCCATCCGTTTGTTGTACTTGTATTGTTACCTTGTCCTGAATCTACCTGTCTGTTTATGCCCCTTAAGTTCACCTCGGTTTTGAGGGATGACACCATAATTGTTATCTATCTATTCTTTTGGATCCCACTTTATATCTTACTAGGTTGAAAACAGTTACTCATATATATGGGACTTTGGTGGTCACCCCAAACAGTGACTCGTAATTTCTCCTCATTTTCTTATGTTATCCTCATCTTTTTCTTCCTCGACGATTTCTTCTCCCTTCCTTCTCTAAAATCCTCTCTTTTTTTAATTTCTCCTCATCCTTCTCTAATTTATCCCTCTTCTCCAAATCCTTCCTGTGTAACTCCAAGTCTGGTGAAGGGTTCTAATGGTGACGGCCCACAACCTTGTGGCATCAGCGATTGGCTCATCTGGGGCTTGAGTGGGGGATATCTAGTATATCCCTAGTTATATACCTTATCTTCCATTATAATTTCACAAATATGTATATTAGCAGTTATTTAGAAAGAGTCACGGTATCTATACGTAAAAGAGTATTTTCAGTCCTTGTTACCTCTACTTACTTTGTCAAACTCGTTGTTAGTTGAGGTTTGCTAAGAGCGTATGTTCACGGTATTCACGTGCTTTCTTACTGCCTTCAACAAACCAATATGGGTTATAGAGGAAATCACTTGTGTGATTGGATATGAATTTGATTGATTTTTTTGTTAACCATAATTAATTTTGAAAAAAGTTGGTATGATTAGTTGTTAATGAGATTCAGTTTATACTAAAATAATATTTAAAATAAAATAGTAAAAATTGATATGATGTAAAAGTATGAAAGAGATAAAGTAAAGTGATGGTTAGTTAAAATGATGTGAGTGGATGACAAATTATGTAAAGTTAATGTGATGTGACAAATAATTGATTGATATTATTCAATAATATTTATAATATTAGGGATAATAGAATTTGGATTAAAATTTAGTTAAAAAAAATAATTGAGTTAAAAATAATTTATTTTTTTTAGTTGGATTCATATTCTCCATCACACATGGGCTAGTTGCTTCATGGACTTTTTAAGTTTTTTACCATTAATTTATACACAGCCACAAAACAGGGTAAGTACTAATTTTTCATCCGATGGCACAAATTATTATCCAGAAGAAAGAAAGATCCCACACCAAACACCGAAAATATCAAGTATTCCCCCGCGTGGGCGCACCCCATTGGCCATGGACCCACCGCGCATTACATTTAATCAGCCGAACCAACAAAAGTTTGAAACTTTGAAACGAAGACCCACTGAGCTGGAGACCACAGCAAATCATTATCTGACATAAGATGGGCACGAATCGAACACATGGACCTATTATGGGCCCCGCAGGATGGACATTTCAACATTTTCAAGGCCTAGGTTGTTCAGCTTTACTGGCAAGAAAAAATAAAACGAAAAATCTTTTATTATTGGGTAACATCGAAGGAGACGTGGGCGTTTCCTGTGATGGACATGTAGTTGTTTCTCATTCTTTTTTTTTTCTTTGTTTTCTGGGCCGATAAAAGGATAGAAAAAGGAACCAACCTACCCCATTTGTTCTTGGTGTTTTTGTACTGATAATAAAATGCGTGTGTAATGAACTTTGGCAGCAATGAACTTTAACAGCGTTGGTTTGAATTGGGTTTCTGATGTTGACTGACGTCTTTCTCTGATTTAAAAAGATTTTGATTTTCAACAACCCTTGGAGGTGTAGGGAGTTGGGGAGGAAGCTACTCTTCATTTAGAGGTACAATGAGATTTTCTTTTTTGGTACAATTTGTTGTCTACTCTCAAAGTCTGTCATTTTAGCTGATGGATCTGTGTGTTTGGCGGGTTTATGATGCTTAATATTTATTTTTTCAAGTGAGAGCATTTGGGCGTTTCTTGAAGGGCACTTTTGGGTTGCACTGTTTCTTGTGTTTGTGTGTTAGGTTGTGTATGCGCTTGTGTTTCTAATTTTGGTTATAAAGAAGAATGAAGAACTGTGTTCAAGAGTATCCTGATTCCTGAGAGTGTTCTCTGAGAGTTCTCTTGAAATGTATTCTTAAATCTTAGTATTGGTTATGAGAGTTCCTTGTCCTAAGCCATGGATTAGAATTTGCAGTATTACTTGTATCAAATCAATTTCTAATTATTCTGAAGTCTTTATGTGTATTAGGTCTCGATTGGATCTTGGGAGCTTATGAAGTTAAGGAAATGTTAAGAGACTGGAAGAAAATGTCCTCTAATTTCTCTTTGCCATTTTAAGTTTGTAATTCCAATATTTAGCTCGGAGGATTTAGCTGATTTTATTTTGGAAAAACTCTGCTGAGTAATTGGATCGAGCCATGACTAAGCTGTCTCTAACACTTGAAAATAAAAGTTGTGATTCAAATGTTCCACAGAAGGGAGTTATTATCAAAACTGAGCCAAGTTATAGTCGGCCAAGTGATGGTGAAGCCAATATTTTATTAAAGACCTTGGAAAGTGAAAAAAATTTGATCTTTAGTGATATTGTTGCTCAGGAGGAACTCGTAGAATCCAAGTATGAAGCGAGTGGTACCATCCTCTGCATTGAGGAGTATACAGTTGTGGAGGCCAATTTAGATAGAAATGTTTTTGCAGTGCAGAAAAATGTCAAGGCCCTGAATGTTGAAGACTTGAAAGGTGAATCTACTAGCAGGCTTCTTAAGGTTTCTGAAGAAAAGATGATAAATAATCAAAATAATGCTTTGAATTTCCCACCTCTATGGGGGCTGACATCTATTTGTGGAATGCGGAAAGAAATGGAAGATTATGCTGTAGCTTTTCCAAGATTCCTAAATATCCCTTCTTTTATGCTGGGAGAAGTGGTCTCGAGCTCGACAAATCACGATACATCGACTGCCCATTTATTTGCAGTTTATGATGGACACGGAGGTTTTCAGGTAATAATGATGAAATAAAAAAGAAAAAAAAAAGAAGAAGAAAGAACATTTGTACTGAAATTTGCATTATCTTCATTTGATGAATGTGTTCAGGTTGCTGATTATTGCCGGGCCCGCCTGCATGAAGTTGTAGCTGAGGAGATTGGTACTGCTAAAGAAAGTTGGCATACTGAGCCTGATTATCACAATTATGAGGAGAAATGGACAAACATCTTTCTTAACTCTTTCCACAAAATGGACTGTGAAGTCGGAGGATGTCTAGGTGGGGACATTGATTGTGCCGACAATAATTTTCCGTCTGTTGCACCCAACTCTGTGGGGTCCACGGCTTTAATTGCTGTGATTTGCTCGACCCACATAATTGTTGCCAACTGTGGAGATTCGAGGGCTGTTTTGTGTCGGGCAAAAGTGCCGATACCGCTGTCTGTGGACCACAGAGTAAGAATTGAGTTCTTTTGGTGTTTTTTTTGTGTGTGTGTGTGTGTGTGTGTGTGTGTGTGTGTGGTTGGTTGTGTAGCCTTTTGTCATTCATTAGATCTCAATAAATTTCCCCCCATTTTAAGTAATTCTTTCTCTTCCCAGCCGAATAGCAAAGCCGAATGTGCGAGAATAGAGGCCGCGGGAGGCAAAGTCGTCTATTGGAATGGGTACCGAGTCTCGGGTTTTCTGGCTGTCTCGAGGTCCATTGGTAAGTCGATTCTCGTAAAACATTTTTTCACATTATCATTTGATTTGATGATTTTGTAGTAGTATGACGTTGTGAATCCGTAACTGAATAAACGGAGTTACTCTTAATACTGCATGGAGATAAAGTCCATGATAGCCTGATCTGGGCCGGGCTTGAGCCCGTTCAATGCTCGGGCCCGCTAATGTTGCCATACTTGAAGCTTTTCATTCTAACGATTTTTTTTTGCACTTATTTATTTTCCGAGCAGGGGATGGATACTTGAAGCCATACGTAGTTGCAGACCCGGAAGTTATGTTTGTTCATCGTGCAAAAGAAGACGACTTTCTAATTCTGGCCAGTGATGGGCTTTGGGATGTGATAACGAATGAAGAGGCCTGTGAGCTGGCCCGAAGGCGAATTCTGCTATGGCACAAGAATAACGCAGGCCCGAATTATCTGAGAGAAAGAAGGCCCGGGATTGACCCAGCTGCTCAGGATGCAGCTGATTATCTCTCACGGCTTGCGCTCCGTAAAGGGAGCAGAGATAATATCTCGGTCATAGTTATCGACCTCAAAGCTCGGAGGAAGCTGAAGAGGAAGGTTTAGAAAGAAGGTTGTAATGACTAACCGAATAAGGTCGTTTATGTGTCATTGACTCGACTTTTTGCAAATGTTGATTGTGCTCGATTTCGTTTTAATGCTAAATCATCGGATGGTGGTGTTAACGGTCCCTTTCATGTCAGTTGTGTGGATAGAGGTAAGATTAATTCAAGTGAGATAGAATTCACTAGGAAAAATTTCATGCTATCCAAAGTTTGTTAGACTATTGAATTTGCAAATGATAATCATCACAAAGGGAAACTGAAACTTGTTCTTCATGCATATTTATGTAGTAACCAAGTTCTTGATTTCGGCATTTGTATTACTAATTGCACTATTCCAATACCTTACACAGAAAAACATCTCATGAAAGCTGAAATAGTGTATAGTGTATTTTACTACAAGCACCCTATATAACAATACACCGAGTGAAAAGTACATCCAAATTCACATCATTAATCAATGCAACACTTTATACACAACAAACAACATGATGATAACAAGTTGAGCGTTCACAGAAGAGGATGATTAAAAGCAAAAATCTCTATTAAACAGATTCTTGGTAAGATAAGCTAAAAAAAAATCCTCGTACATGTTCATTATTACACTGTGGTGCGCGAAGATCCTCCAATGGTGAAGTAAAGAGCGAGATCAATGTCAAGATTGTCGTACTTAGTAATGAAAGGATGCGCCTGAAAAAAGTCCATGTAAATTAACAAATTTATCAATTATCACTTGCTCAAATAGGCTAAGTATTAAAAATGATAAAGCATTAGAGAACTACCATTAGCTCATTTGCTGACAGTCTATCTTTAGGATCTTTCTGCACACTGATATCATATCAAGATCAAAGATCAGTTAAGTAGCTACAACAATGAAACTAATAAAAAAAAAAAAAAGAACATATGTGTGATTTGTTGTACCCACTTACCAGGCTGATATAAAGGAACAAAACTCAGGAGAAAACACATCAGAAGGTGCAAAAGGCGCGGGTTGATCGACAATAGTATCCATAATCTCGTAAAAAGCTTTCCATCCTTGTGGATTTGGTGGTGAGTAAGGGAAATGACCCATCGCGCACTCTAGCAAAACCAAACCGAGGCTCCACATATCACTTCTATAACCATAGTTGCTCCCACTTATTCTCTCTGGCTAAGGAATTTTTTTTTTTTTTTCCAGAAATAGAAATAGCAAGAATTTAGAGGGGTGAAAATTAATAAATGAACTTTGGGGTTAAAGTATTCGTTAACGCTTACAGCCATGTAGATATATGTGCCGACGAACGTGTCGGCTAAACCAGACGTGCTAGCCAGAATAGTACTAACACCAAAATCGGTGATTTTCACTTCACCTCTGTGGTTTATTAGCAGATTTGATGGCTTCAGGTCTCGGTGAATAATGTGCTTCTCATGATGAAGATACCACAAGCCTTTGAGTACCTACACAGGCATGATAAGGCTTTAAGCATCATTTTTATTTTATAGTATTAATTGCAAATGGTACCCTCGATTTAGAAATTAATTACAGTAAATCGCACCTGTTTACAAATTGCGGCCAGGTACGGTTCCGGAATAATGTGAACCTTCTTGAGAAAATCGGCAAGAGATCCAGCATTCATATATTCCAAGATTAAGGAAATCGCGCCATTATCATAGAAAGATTGGTAACATACAACAATATATGGGCATTGTGACGATTGGTTGATTTTTATTTCTCGTGCAATGTGTCTTCGGGCAGCTTCTTCAACATTCATTTGAATTATCTGACAAACGCATCAATCCAAGAATATAGACAATGAAATAAACATAATACAAATGTAAATGGATCAAAATGGACAACGAGTTATTATATGACAAATGTAGATTAAAGCTTTTCGAATGAAATGTGATTAAGACCTTTCTTTACCAAATGCACTCTAAAGTATCTTGTTGTGCAAAGAGAGTTCATATGGAGCTTGTTCTAAAAAAATGCCCAAAAGTAGTACATAACTTCAATTGCAAATACCTTGAGAGCGAAAAATTGTCCGGTCCATTTGTGTCGAACCAGGTGCACAACACCACCATTTCCCTTACCAATAACCTTAATTGCTTCAAAGTCATCTAAGCTCAATAGGTTCTCTGACTCTGATGGTTGAACTGTGAGTGGCTGATTACAGACAACAAGCAAACAGAATTGAAAAAAATAATAATAAAATAGGAATATAAGTAAATAAACCAAATTAAATGAAATTTGCTAGTTCCATAGTAAATACAACATACATACAGCTTCAGCTTGGGACTGGGAGACAAGTCGAACTCCATTTTTGTCGACCAACAAATCGCCATCCTTAAACGTCCCAGACTCTGTCCTGTGCCCCAAACAAGAATAATATTCTAAATCATTACATGAAAAAAGAGAAAGAAAGTGAAAAAAAGCAAAATATTTTACATTTTCATTAAAAGAAGAGATACTTACAGAAATTCGGAAGGACAAACTTGATCAGGAGGAGGGAGAGAGAGCTTGAGCTTAGGTGGCAGAGGCCCTCTCTTCATTCTTTTTAAAAAAAAAAAAAAAAAATTAATTAAAAATAAAAATTATTTGCTGTTATTGTTCTATAAGGCTAACCAGTCAGTGATCAAAATAAGCCTGGGCTTTCTTTTCCTCTTTTGCTGTTATCTTCTTCACCGTATTCATGACAAGTCCAATAGGGAGTCTTGGGAAAGTCTACCAAAGTCAACTCACAAAGGTAACAAAAAGTCAAATCAATCATCAAAAGTTTTTTTATTTCCACACCTTTGTATGATCGTGCGTGTGGACTTCCGAACTTCAAAGAAGGCTGGACACGAAATTGTTTGGAACATTGTGAAAGGGCTACTCCATGGATATTACACCATTTTTGTGAATGTTTTTGCCAATTAAGTTTAGTAAAATAAATTAATTAATTTATTAAAAATATTATTGTAAAAACGAAATAAAATGTAAAACAAATGAGTTCATAATGTAATTGTTTTTTGCCAATTAAGTTTTTTAAAATAAATAAATTAATTTATTAAACATATCTTTGTAAGAATAAAACAAAATGTAGATCAAATTAATGACACAAAATGTAGAACAATTTGTTTTTTCCGAAATAACTTAAGGATGTCCTAATATAAAAAGAATTAAATAACATATTACAATCCATTACAACCCCAACAAAAACACTAAATAACTAAATAATGACTAATATATATTTTACATACATTAGTTCTTTTATTTGTTTATGTTAGATGATTCAATAACGATCTCTTTTATTTTGGTTTTGATGTCCTCATAAGAAGAATTGCTGATTCAATGGTATTGCAAAATTCATCTAATTTATTTGGTAAAACGTTTACTTTATTCAAACACTTAAGAAACATTCTAGCCAAACATATAGTGAAACTTCGTAGTTGTATTATCTTTATATTTCTACTAACAATGCATGAATATCTCTGCAAAATAATCAATCGTGTCATTAAAATTGTTGATTATTTTAATCATTGTATAAACTACTATATTACTATCTCTCTATATATAGATAAATTGATACCTATCCCATGGATGTATAACCCTACTGATGGAAATGAATTTCATCTCTAAATAAAAGTTGACTTTCAAAATCTTTATTACATGTACTTTTCCTGAGATTATTTTTTGAAATCATCACATATTACCTAAAAGTACATACTCTAAAATAATTGCACATATGTTCAAGCACAATACACCAATGAAATTATAAATATTCCTATAAGAAGTGTCAACTTCATTCAAACATTTAAAAATAATTTGATCAGGCTCCAACGTTTTTCAATGTCATTTTTTTGGAAGATAGACGAACTATATAATCTATTATTTGCAAATCATTGACCATCTAGTTCTTACAATGATTTTAGAATTATTTATCTTAATATCTTTCACATTCGTTTGGATTTGTAACATTTATGTGTCCAATAACCTTTTTAATGCTTTTATCGTCTAACTTTATACATCATACATAATGCTCAGAAAACTCAGAATAAAGATCATTTTTTGGTTCTTCACCAATGACAAAACCAAATAAAACAAAACAATGTGACAACATTGAGAAGCATATCATTTGTTAAAATATTCGAGATGAGAAGAATTGAAATTCTATTTTATGACTCTTAGTCATCTTTGAACTTTATTATTACGAAATCATTATTAAAATCTACATTATGTATTATAAAGTTTTAAATTTTTAATTAATTAAAATTAAAAATTGATAATATAGGATCAATATTTATGAGATCCAATTTCTTACAGAGTCCATATATTTAAACGCTAGCAACAAAAAAAGTATATTTTTAAAAGACTTTTTGTTTCTAAATATTGGTATTCATACTTGTCTAAGGAAATTCAAACGTTTTCTTTTTTCAATTGCATTACTATTATTTTATTAGTTTTTTTATTCTATTGATAAATATTACTTTATTTATTAAAAGAATTATAGCACATTTATATGTATTGCATAATATTTTGTACGTGTTTCATATAATGACGTTGTTATCAAAATATCTATTTATTTGGCAACAACTAATATAATCACATAAGATAAAATAAAATTTAATATTACTTATTTATTTATTGATTTATATAATCTATTTGATAAAAAATGTACTTTTATACTGATTATTAGGTTAAAAGGTTTAGAATTTTTTCCCAATGTTTGAGTTAATATTAAGAAACTAACTCATTTTTATACTCATTGAATTTATGTGTTAGTTGAATAATAATTTAACATACAACTCGTTTATTTCTCCTTTTGATTCACATGGTTAATATTGGTGATAGTTGTATGTTTACATCCATTGTTTGTTTTTTCTTAGTGTGAATTTTCGGATTATGTAAGAAAAATATGTCACAAGTTTATATTATGTTATTTAATACTTAATGAATTTATTTAAGATGGATGTATAATTTATTTTATAAGATACTTTTAGGTTTATTTATTATTTTAAATTCGTGTTGATAATTGATATACATCATTGGAAAGAAATGATGTGATATATAACATATAAAAGGGTAACAAATTATAAAATAATAAGTATTTTAAAATTAAAAAATTAATGATAGAAAGTAATTAAATTTTTAATTAAAAGAATTTAAAACTAACATAGTGAATTTTAATGGGAAAAAAAAATTATGAACTTAAAAGTTCAAGTTAAAATAGATGTGCATATTAAGTATGCTTGATATTTCTCATTACCTAGCTCCAATTGATATAAGACATTAATTAATTTTATCACTTTTTTTTTTTTTCAATTGACTGCGAGCTATAAGCTTTATAATTGTGTAGTCTTACCTTTTTATTATGTAGGAATATTTCAATGTTATTACTCCCGTTTGAATTTTACAATATAATTCTAGAAAAAATATTTTATTGGAATCATGAGCAGATTTATGTTTATTTATAGGTCCAGTACAACCCTTCATCCCGAAGCATATAGCGTAAGAAATCTAATAAAACTTGTGGGAATGTTTTTTCATAATTTTTATCATGTCCCCTATTTTAAAAATGAAACTAAATGAAAGAAAGATACATAATGACTTAATTTACAACTCAACCAATTATAATTTAATTCAACTCATAACTTTATTAATGTTATAATATAAACGCGGCATCACAACTAAAGAAAACTAGTATTCGATCCTGTGCATTTGCACAGATGTACATGAAGTATTATAAGTTATTTGTATGCATATAATATTAAAATTATAAGTTAGATAATGATATTATATTTTAAACATAGGGTATTATAAGTTATATTTGTGCATATAATATTAAATTATAAGTTAAATAAAGGTATTATATTTTAAAATTTGATCATTGGTTAAAATAAATAGTACATAACGATTTGATTGTATATGAATCACTATATTGATTGTATAAAATAAAATAAATAATGTATTTTTTGAAATTTTATGGGACTATGACTAATTAATTAGCTAAAAAATATTAAATTTATTATGACAATTGCTTATGCGATTTTAAGGAATTTTACTATGCCATTAAATAAATTAATTTATTAAAAACTAATCGCTTAAGCAGATAAAGAAATATTATATTGATTTTATAATAAATTACTCGAACAAAAAGTTTTTACAATATAGTTTCTTATGTTTATGTAACTTTCACATATCATTTAGTGTAAAATATAATTACTAATTGTAATAATAACTATTATATGATACAATTTCCAGAGCTGGTGAATTTATTTTGTATTGTTGTTAGTGTATTTGTCCGTGTTGTACATGTGCTGAATATTTCATTTTCATCATGATTAATTATTGTAGTGATATCATAAAAAACAATAGATATTCCAAATAAACATTTATAAAAAGTTCTTTTAAAAAATTATATTCTGAATACATGCTTATGTAATCATGAGTTTCTATAATAAATAATTCATAATTAAGTTAGGATAGTAATGTTTATATAAGAAATTAAAAAAGTAAATATTTTTAGCTAATTAACCTAAATTGATATACTTAGATGAAATAGTGGTCATTAGTTTACATTTGGTAACTGTCCAAACTTGATGTATTTTGTAAAAGTAACGGTTTTTGTATTTGGAAAGTTTGTATTATTTATTAAGTAAAATTTATTAGGTTTTATTTATGAGGTAAAATTAAATGAAAGGCTAGCAATTATATATATATAGATATATATATAGATATAATAAATCTCAAAATTACGACCCACCAGTTGAGACCAGTTTATTCATTTATATACTGAGATTATATACATGTTATTATCATGAATAATTGCATCACTACGATATAATACCGTAATGATTCGCTAGTTCACACTAAGTTTTCAAATTTTTTATCTGATATATGATATAGACTTTTCTATTCCTATTTTAAAAGGCCTTTTTGAATTCAACTAAATGTAAATGAACCATATTGATGATAGTTTCAAATCTCTCTCTTTTGCAACATATTTTTTTCTATATCTTCAAAATATATTTTTATGTCTTTTTAACTAATGCAGGGGAATTATAGTTATATATTCATAATTTATAAATTCATCAATTGTATTGCCGAGTCAGCTATACTACAACATAGATTTTTTGTTTATAATTTTTATAAAAATATATTATTTTCAATGATTTTCTTATGTTGAATTGAGAAAAATCATCATTTTCTTATTAAATATTTTTTAACTTATTGTGATTGTACTGATGTGTTTGAATGTATTACATGTGAGAAATATGACAAATTATGTAAAGTATAATTCATAAATTGTAATGGCATTATGTTATTTTGATGGTATACTTTTTCTGTTAACTGTATAGTGCCCCAATATAAAATTATTTTGGATCCGCCACTCAATGGAACTTCTATTAATTTTTTTACAATTTCAATGACAGTTTTTTCAACGGTCGAAATATGATCGATAAAGAAATTCAACAGAAATTCAAATAATAGTAAATTCTAATAATTGGAATTATTTAATTCACAAAATTTTCAATGTAATTTAATTTGATCTCGGTTGGAATAGTTAATGAAATTTTTCAATAAAAGCTATACCAATAAAATATCCATGCAATTTTCATTGGAATATCTTACAGATGCATTTTCCATTGCAATATACCAATTTTTTTGTATTCCTTCTTAAACATTATATTTTAGGTAGTAGTTATTGAGTAATTGTGTTTACACTTTTTCTATTAAAATATATTAAACATATAAAATTTTTAATCCATATAATTTTTTTTTAAAGTAACTCATTATTTTATCTAAAGATTACCTATTAAGTTCCTAATTGAGTTACATTTATTACAT